CTTCATCAAATCAAGCACTGTTACTTCTTTCTATTCTTGATTTTCCCACAGGGGGGAAAATGGTATCACCTAATACCAGGCATAAATATGGTAGAATAAAATTTAAATTCAGATCTATTTGACTTGGAGGCCCGTGCTCTTTATACGAAACCACACTACCAAAAGACAGACTATCACACCAGAAGCCGAACTTCAACAACCAGTATAAAAAATAAAAATTTTCATTGTTGATAAATTATTTCTAATTTTGGTTAATTTGGTACTTAGTAAATGATTTAGACACTAATAGAGAAAAACAGAAAACAGAATCAAGAAGGTGACATATTTTTTAGAAAACTGAAACATAAAGTGAATTATCCAGCTGACTCCACCAATCCAAAATGGTGTAAGAGGATACAGCAACCAGTGAAATTCAACACACTTCAGAAAACAAAGCAACATTCAAACTTACAGGAGAGAATATAGAAGAACATCTTTGTGATCTTGGGGGAAGAACAGATTTCTCAAACAAGACATAAAACAGCATAAATCATAAAATTAAAAAGTGATAAATTCAATTACACTAAAATTTTAAACTATGCGCTAAAAGTGACCTCATACTGAATGACGATTAGCTGCAAACACAAACAACAAAAGTATCAAGAATACATAAAGAACATCTACAAGCTAATCAAGAAGCAAGCAAGCCAAATGTTCAAAGAATGTGAGCGGTCAGTTCACAGAGAAGAAAGAACAAAAACAAACATAAAGAGAGATTCAACCTCAATAGTAACTAAAAACCAAACAAACCCGTTGCGATTGAAGTCGATTCTGACTCATAGCGGCCCTACAGGACAGAGCAGAACTGCCCCCATAGGGGTTCCAAGGAGCAGCTGGTGGATTCAAACTGCTGACCTTTTGGTTAGCAGCCTGGGCTCTTAACCACTGTACCACCAGGGCTAATAGTAACTAAAGAAACACAATTAAAACCTCCAATAACCTGGTCCCTCCACCCTACCTCAGAGAAGTCACTCCCATGGTTAGTGAAAAGGTGGTCAGATCATCAACCTTGCCCTGGAGAAATCTATAGTCGGTTCATCCCACCACCTTTTCATTGCCCCTCACCTCTCTCATATCTCACTTCCCTGCTTACTCAGCTAAAATTCTAGCTCAGTCATTATAATCTTCCTTTCCTATCTCTCATTTCGTTGCATTTTTTTGGTTAAACTATAATCATGATTAAATCCAACTCTGCATCCTTCTATGCCTGTACCCACATAGGTGAATATGAATGGGTGGAAAATACACTTGTTCTCACTTTAAATTCACGAACACTAAGTGGGACCCTATTACTACCCAGCAACCATACCATATTTTCCTATTTCATTCATTCTCTCACTCCCTAGACAACGATTTCTTATCTTCTACTTTCTCCTCACACTTCCAATTCCTCCTCCCTCATCCTCATTCACAACTTTCTTATATCACTGTTATGGACTAAATCGTGTCCCCCCAAAATGTGTATCAACTTGGCTAGGCCATGATTCCCAGTATTGTGTGATTGTCTACCATTTTGTCATCTGATGCGATTTTCCTGTGTGTTGTAAACCCTATCTTTATGATGTACATGAGGCAGGATTAGAGGCAGTTATGTTAATGAGGCAGGACTCAATCTACAGGATTAGGTTGTATCTGGAGTCACTCTCTTTTGAGATATAAAAGAGAGAATCAAGTAGAGAGGACAGGACCTCCTACCACCAAGAAAGAAGAGCCAGGAGTGCACACATCCTTTGGACCTGGGGTCCCTGCACTAAGAACCTCCTAGACCAGGGGAAGATTGATGAGAAGGACCTTTCCTCAGAGCTGACAGAGAGAAAAAGCCTTCCCCTAGAGCAGGCGCCCTAAATTTGGACTTCTAGCCTCCTAAACTGTGAGAGAATAAACTTCTCTTTGTTAAAGCCATCCACTTGTCGTATTTCTGTTACAGCAGCACTTGATAACTAAGACAATCACTAAGAAAATAGAAGTAACAAGAAAAGAACTTTCTCAAGTGATCATCACCACTTCTACCCACCTACCTATATCTATGCCCATATATTCTGCCTTTTCTCCCATTAGAGCTGAGAAACTGTCCAAGCCCCTAGCAATGGGCAATTCCTCCACCTGCACATTAGATCCCATCACCTCATGTCTACCACAGAACACAGATCCAGCAATTTTCACTCCTCCCTAGTTATTTTTGCCCTCTATCGAACATTCGGTTATTTCTCCTATCTTAAAATGTTCTTGACCCATTTCCCCCACTAACCCATTATTCTCCTTTCTTTTATAGCATAACTCCTTAAAATTAAGAGATATTTATACTTGCTGTCTCAAATGTCTCTCCTCCCATGTTCTTTCTTAAATCCAAGAAAAAAATTATCCCACCACTCCACCAAAACAGCTCTTCTGAAGCTGACGAGGACCCTCATTTGTTAAATTCCATAGTCAGTATTTGGTTGTCATCAGCCGCATCTGACACAGTAGGTTACACCTTCTTCCTTGAAACACTGACGACCTCGCTCTCTCCCGGTTTTTCTGTCTCTCGTGCTCCGTCCCCTTTGCCAGTTTCTTCCCGTCTCCTTAACCCCTGATCGCAGTGGTGCCTAGGGATCAGTATTTTCTAGCTGTTGTCACTCTCTTGGTCATCTCCTATAGTCCCGTGACTTTAAATATCATCTCTAGAGACAACCAGACAGCAGCTAACAACAACAACACAGACTGACATCACCCAAATGTATGTATCTCCAGCCCCGCCCTCTCTCCTGAACGCCAGATGCCTTTATCCAACAGCCTACTCTACACATCTCCAGTCAGATGTTGTGCCGGGTCTCTTTCATTTCATTCACACTTCTCCATCCTGCTGTGTCCGAGGAGGTTGGTCTATATGGTTACAGCAACAGGCTTTCCTTGCCTCTGGCTTCCAGTAGGTTAGGCTTATGGGAAGCCCTGGCAGGAAATTGGAGGGAAAAGAATGTAAGACCAGAATATGTATCCCTCTGTCTCTCTCCCTGTGGCATCATCTTCGCTGGCTATGTCCCTTGACCAAAGATGATTTATCCTCTCAAGGTAACCGTATCTACGTGAATCTTTCCTTCAGCATTCCAGTAACTAGGGGTGGTAATAACTCTGCTGTTACTTGCCTTCCTGATATTGTACTATTCCTGTGATCCTACTCATGCTTTTTTAAAATAGTTCCTTTGTTAAAGTTTCCTTTTAATTATATTGAGCGTAACATCTATTTCCTACATGTACCCTCATCAATACAGATACCTAACTGGCATCTCGATTTTAACAAGTCCAAAACAGAGTTCTTCCTATACAGTTTTATCCAGGTCAGTTAATGATAAACCCCTTTCTCAGCCGTTCAGGCCAAAAATTTGGCATCGTTCTTATACATCTTCTTATCTCACACCTCACACTCCCAAGTCCTCTCTGCCCTTCCTCAAATAGATACAGAACCCAATTATGTTTTACCACCTCTACTGTTACCCATGATTTGCCAAAATGCAGGTAATAAGAGAGAAATACTCACTGAACTGGCCAAATCATTTAGGGTTGTCAGTGCCTGGACAATCAGTGAGTGAATGTCATCAGCAAACCTATACCTAAAACGGTTATGCTATGTGCTCCGTACATTATCATGATACCAGATTGAACCTTGGTCTGCTGACACACAATCTAATATTCTCCCCATTTACCTCTTCCTTTCCTGCTCAGAAAGGTTTACTCTATAAAGTTATGAGATAACTCATCACTTTATGACTCTTAGTCGGGTACAGGGATTCAAAAATACAGGCAAATGAGGCAGAAGAAAGGTAAAACTCAAATGCAGCATAAAAGTGGGGGGAAGCGGAGTTCAAAACAAACTGTCTGAAAAGTTAATTTGATTTTATTTCTCTATTCCTCACATCTTCATCCTTTAATTTCTTTAACCTGGCCATAAAACCATTGTTCTTATTGAGGTTCACGTGTAGTTGCAAGAAATAATACAGAGAAGATCTCTTGTACCCTCTGCCCAGTTTCCCCAATAACACTTTGCAAAACTACAGTATAATAACACAAGGAGAATATTGATATACCGACATTGACACAGTCCACCAAACGTACTCAGATTTCCACAATTTTACTTGAGCTCACTTACGTACGTGTGTGTGTTAACTTCTACAGAATATTATCACTTGTGTAGGTTTGTGTATTCATCGCTATAGTCAAGATACTGAATAGTTCCAACAATACAAGGGTCCCTCATTTATAATCATACGCACCTGCTTCCCCCCACACCTGGCAACCATGAATCCCTCTTCCATCCATCCTTTAAGTTCTTACGTCACACTCGAGTCGTACACCCAGGCTACTCCATTGTTCCCTATTACTGCTCTCCAGCTTCACCCAGCTCCACCTCACGTAAGATGTGGTCAATCTTAGACAACAACCAGCCAGGGGAGGAATGGGTTTTTCACCGTATTGCTAGAGAAGGCTGAGTCCCAAAAACAAAAACGAAAACTTACGGTACTCAGCTACATACAGCTCTAACGTGCACATCCACTAATACGCACATTCTCGGCTACAAAAAAAAAGGCAAAAAAAGAACATACATACTCTAGAAACTCTGTAAAGCTTCGTATCGGCTTAAGAACTGATTCCTCTGAAATCACAAGAGCACCTACTTCTGTTTCTCGGATTACCTAATTCCGAGTGGCATGGTTCAGCATTTTCCATGTATATACCGTTTTTTATCCATCTAAACAGGAAGACCCTAGTCATTCTACATCAACACTCGGAAATCCTGATTTCAACTTTAAAAAATTTCATTTTTCCCTTGCAGCCCATTAGAAACATTGTCCTTTACTTGGATTTAAAATCCAAAGACCAAAGGATGGATTGCTAGTTATAAAAATACAATTTAAAGAGCAACATAAATAAAAACTGTATGCAATTTTCACAGCACTAAGCAGTATACATCCAACTGGAATTCATACCTGCAGAGCTAAGGAGGACGCTGAAATCTGTCCCCCTCTGGGATTCTCCACTTTCATTATCCGCCTCTTTTTCCGTATCTTGATATCGATCCCAGTTAGAGACAATCTTTCTTCTAGAATAACTGCCCTGCTCATCATTCTCTCCTTCACACGTTTCCGCATCACTGTCATCTCCAATCTGCAATCATTGGGAGAAATCAGTAAGCAGGTGGTGTAAATCTTGACCTTAGCAGCCTTAGCAATAAAACAAAACAAAATAACTGGGGGAAAAAAGTACACAGGTACCATAAAAAAGAGCAAACTGATAGACCAAGCTGTCTGAAGACATCATACAAAATTTCAAATGCACTACACCAGAGTGTTCTTTCCATGTAAATTCATCATCGAGCATTGAAAAGGAATTCTGGCAAGTTACCGCCTAAAAATTTGTGTAACATCTCTAACATCTATCCCAATATATCCGATTTTAATAGTTGTTTCATCTAGCTGAAATCAAGACTGAAACAGACTTAAATTCAAAAGACTTTGTGATGGAAATAAACTCCCCTTTTCAATTTACAGATTTCAGAAACACATCCCACATATATGTTTTATAAACTTTAAATGAGAGACCTGCTTAGACGCATTCTAGAGAACAGTCCTGGTCCCGAGCTCTAAAGAGTTAAGAGAGCACACAGGAAAAAATGCAGATTGTGAGAAATTCTAGAAGACAAACGGCCCAATTTCTTATATAAATTGCCAGGGGGAAAACTGGTGAGGGAGGGAGGAGAAACCTACAGATTAAAAGAGTTTAAGGAAAACATGTTGTGTGCCCTGGAATCTATTTCGACTCATAGTGACCCCATGTGACAGAACAGAACTGCTCCATGTGGTTTTCTAGGCTGAATCTTCACCCAAGGAGCTGCTGGAGGGTTCAAACTACCAAGGGAAAGCACAACCAATTACAATGTAGGGAACTTCTCTGCACCCTGATTAAAACGTTCTAACTAGAGAAAAATAACCACTTTTGAAACAATGGGGGAAAAGTGAACTATGACCATATTATTTGACTGTATTAAGGAAATACTGTTATTTTTATTTATTTACTGTTTGGTGTGATACTGGTTATATGATTTTTTTTTAACATTCTTATCTTTTAGAAATAAATACTGAACTATTTATGGATGGAAAGATATGACATCTGGGATTTCCTTCAAAGTAATAGGTGGTGAGGAATGGTGGATAGAGATGAAACAAGATTTGACATAACTGAAAACCACTGATGAGTACATGGAAATTCATTATATTATCCCCTCTACTTTTGTCTAAATTTGAAATTCTCTGTAATAAAAAGTTAAATTTTAAAAATGACAGATACATGCTGAATCTAAAGACAGGGTTCAAAGAAGTATCACGAAGGTTAGGACATTCTGAGCCAGAAAAAATTAGTGAAATGTATTAAAACGACCCATCTGTACAGGATGAGTTATTATGGACTTTACTTTTTTTTAAAATAAGCTTTTATTAACACAAAAACAAAACACGCACATTGTAGTAAATAAATAATACTTCCCCTTGTCACCCAGAGAGTACCACTACCAACACTTTCGTGTACATACTTCCAGAGCTTTTTCTGTGTGTGTGTATACGTGTAAGTATATATGTGTGTGTATATATTTAATACACACATATATATATAAATATAATCTATCGGTTTGTCGTACTGTGGTGATTTGTGTGTTGTTGTGATGCTGGAAGTTATGCCACTGGTATTTCAAATACCAGCAGGGTCATCTATAGTAGACAAGTTTCAGCAGAACTTCCAGACTAAGACAGACTAGGAAGAAGGACCTGAAAAAACTGACCAGTGAAAACCTTATGAATAGCAGCAGAACACTGTCTGATATAGTGCTGGTAGACGAGCCCCTCAGGTTGGACGGCACTCAGAACACAACAGGGAAGAGCTGCCACCTCAAAGTAGAGTCGATCTTAATGATGTGGATGGAGTAAAGCTTCTGAGACCTTCATTGCTGATGTGGCATGACTCAAAACAAGAAGAAACAGCTGCAAACATGTATTAATAATCAGAACATGGAATGTACGCAGTATGAATCTTGGAAAATTGGAAGTCATCAAAAATAAAATGGAATGCATGAAGATCAATATCCTAGGCATTAGCGAGCTGAAATCGACTGGTATTGGCCATTTTGAATCAGACAATCATATCATCTACTATGCCAGGAACGCCAAATTGAAGAGAAATGGCATTGCATTCATAGTCAAAAAGAACATTTCAAGATCCATTCTGAAGTACAACACTGTCAGTGATAGGATAATATCCGTATGGCTACAAGGAAGATCAGTTAATACGAATATTATTCAAATTTATGCATCAACCACTAAGGCCAAAGATGAAGAAATTGAAGATTTTTACCAATTTCTACAGTCTGAAATTGGTCAAACACGCAGTCAAGATGCACTGAAAATTACTGGTGATTGGAATGCAAAAGTTGGAAGCAAAGAAGAAGGATTTGTAGTTGGAAAATAGGGCCTTGGTGATAGAAATGACGCCGGAGATCACATGAAAGAATTTTTCAAGACAAACAACTTCTTCATTGCAAATAGCTTTTTTCAACAACATAAACGACGACTATACACGTGGACCTCGCTGGATGGAAAACACAGGAATCAGATGGACTACACCTGTGGAAAGAGGCGATGGAGAAGCTCAATATCATCAGTCAGAACAAGGCCAGGGGCTGACTGCAAAACAGACCATCAAGTGCTCATATGCAAGTTCAAACTGAAGTTGAAGAAAATTAAAACAAGTCCACAACAGCCAAAGTACAAATCTGAGTATATCTCACCTGAATTTAGAGACCATCTCAAGAATAGATTTGACACTAATGACCAAAGACTAGATGAGTTGTGGAATGACATCAAGGACATCATACATGAAGAAACCAAAAGGTCATTAAAAAGATAGGAAAGAAAGAAAAGACCAAAACGAATATCAGAAAAGACTCTGAAAGTTGCTCTTGAATGTACCATAGCTAAAGTGAAAGGAAGAAATGATGAAGTAAAAGAGCTGAACAGAAGATTTCAAAGGGCAGCTTGAAAAGACAAAGTATTATAATGAAATATACAAAGACCTAGAGTTAGAAAACCAAAAGGGAAGAACATGCTGGACATTTCTCACGCTGAAAGAACTGAAGAAAAAATTCAAGCCTCAAGTTGCAATATTGAAGGACTCTATGGGCAAAATACTGAATGATGCAGGAAGCATCAAAAGAAGATGGAAGGAATACACAGTCACAGAACCAAAAAGAGATGGTTGACGTTCAACCATTTCAGGAGGTAGCATATGATCAAGAACCGATGGTATTAAAGAAATCCAAGCTTCACTGAAGGCACTGGCGAAAAACAAGGCTCCAGGAATTGACGGAATACCAACTGAGATGCTCAACAAATGGATGCAACCCTGGAAGTGCTCACTCATCAATGCCAAGAAACTTGAAAGACAAGCTACCTGCCTAGTTGACTAGAAAAGATCCATATTTGTGCCCACTCCAAAGAAAGGTGATCCAACAGAATGCAAAAATTATTGAACAATATCATTAATATCACATGCAAGTAAAATTTTGTTGAAGATAATTCAGAAGCAGTTGCAGCAGTACATGGACAGGGAACTGCCAGATATTCAGGCCAGATTCAGAAGAGGACGTGGAACCAGGGATATCATTGTGGACATCAGATGGATCTTGGCTGAAAGCAGAGAATACCAGAAAGATGTTTACCTGTGTTTTACTGACTATTTAAAGGCATTTGACTGTGTGGATCATGACAAATTATGGATAACACTGCGAAGAATGGGAATTCCAGAACACTTAATTGTGCTCATGAGGAACCTGTGCATAGACCAAGAGGCAGTCAGAACAGAACAAGGAGATACTGTGTGGTTTAAAATCAGGAAAGGTGTGTGTCAGAGTTGTATCCTTTCATCACACTTATTTAATCTGTATGCTGAGCAAATAATCCAAGAAGCTGGACTATATGAAGAAGAACGTGGTATCAGGATTAGAGGAAGACTCATTAACAACCTGCAACATGCAAATGACACAACCTTGCTTGCTGAAAGCTAACAGGACTTGAAGCACTTACTGATGAAGACCAAAGACTACAGCCTTCAGTATGGACTACATCTCAACATAAAAGAAAAATCCTCACAACTGGACCAATAAGCAACATCATGATAGACGGAGAAAAGACTGAAGTGGTCAAGGATTTCATTTTACCTGGATCCATAATCAATGCCCATGGAAGCAGCAGTCAAGTAATCAAATGACGTATTGCATCAGACAAATCTGCTGCAAAAGACCTCTTTAAAGTGTTAAAAAACAAAGATGTCACTTTGAAGACTAAGGTGGGCCTGACCCAAGCTATGGTCTTTTCAATTGCCTCACATGCACATGGAAAGATGGACAATGACTAAAGAAGACCAAAGAAGAACTGATGCCTTTGAATTACGGTGTTGGTGAAGAATACTGAATATACCATGGACTGCCAGAAGAACAAACAAATCTGTCTTGGAAGAAGTACAGCCAGAATGCTCCTTAGAAGGGAAGATGGTGAGACTTCATCTCATGTACTTTAGACATGTTATTAGGAGAGACCATCCCCTGGAAAAGAACATCATGCTTGGTAAAATAGAGGGTCAGCAAAAAAGAGGAAGACCTTCAATGCGATGAACTGACACAGCAGCTGTAACAATGAGCTCAAATAGAGCAATGATTGTGGGGATGGCGCAGGACCAGGCAGTGTTCTGTTCTGTTGTACATAGGCTCACAATGAGTTAGAACCGACTCGACGGCACGTAATAACATATATGTATGTGTGTGTGTGTGTGTATGCACACACATATAGGCCTGCTTTTTTCTAAATCAATATTCTCCACCTTTCCATTTCAGTAAATTTTCATTTCATCCAATACCCTATTTCCAAACTTCCCTAAGTGACACAAAAAAATTCCTTTACAACTCATTTGTTCAAACCAGTATCCAATTCAGGACCACGCATTGTATATGATTGTTTTGTCCCTTACGTCTCTTTTTCTCTAGCACAATCTGTTTCTATGACATTGATTTATGGAAGAGACCTGGCCAGGTATCACGCAGAAGGGCCCATCTTTTGTCTAGCTTCTCCCTC